CACGTCGGTTTTCTCTGGCGGGGGGCTGAGGGAAGGCGTCTGCCCTTCAGGCACCTAAATGCTCGACGACGACGTCTAGGTGTGTGATCAATCAATTATTATTCAAACAAATTAAAGACGCAAGCCGGCCATTGGTTGGCCACTCGTTAGTTCCTCCTGTGTTATCGATGTTTCACGTCGACCTGCTCCGATTCCTATCACATCACCGCTTGCCGCTTGGCCCACAAAGACTATTCTGTAATCTTTCTTTCTTTCTTTCCTGAAGCTTTGTACCTGTACTATTTACTCCTTCATGTCTTAATTTAGTTCTCTATTAGTAGGGGCCTGTTCTCTCAAAAAAATGATCTCCTATTTCAAATTATATGTGTTCTGATTTTTCTAGATACATAGTTTTTAATTACTATATATTAGACATGACATATATCTAGGTTCATAGCAAAAGCTATGTATCTAAAAAAAATTGAATGAATTACAATTTGAAATAGAGGGAGTATTGCTTTATTTTCTAAATGGCCAAACACTCACTACTACAAAAATGATTTGTGGCAACGCCTCCCTTTCTTTTTAGGAGCAGCTCTATATTGAGCTGCCCCTATAAATGGTTACCAAATGAGCCGCCCTTATAAATAGATTTGTAGGGACGGCCGGTGTTATCAGCCGCCCCTACAAATGGCCCGATTTATAGGGGTGGCTCTATATCCAGCCGCCCCTACAAATCAGATTTGCAGGGGTGGCTCAATATTGAACAACCCCTGCAAATAGACACCGAGTATTAAAAATTAAGCACTAAAATTCAAATTTTGTAAACGATCTCGGATGGAGAAACAACTAAAATGAAAGTTGTAGATCTCAAAAAGTTATAAAACTTTGTAGTTGACAACTTTTTGATTTGAAATCATCTTGTCAAGGAAAACTACGTTTGAATTTTCAAAAATTTGAAATTTTAATGTTTGAAATGACCTCGGATGGACAAACAGTAAAAATGAAAGTTGTAGATATTAAAAAGTTATGAAACTTTATAGTTGATAACTTTCTCATTTGAAATCATCTTGTCATGGAAAACTATGTTGGAATTTCTCAAATTGGAAATTCAAATTTTATAAGTGACCTCGGATGGAGAAACTACCAAAATGAAAGTTGTAGATCTCGAAAAGTTATAAAACTTTATAGTTAACAACTTTTTCATTTGAATTAGTTTAGGGCATCAAACAATCAATTTATGCTCAGTTTTGTATAATAGGTGGGGAGCCAAAATGGATTGTAGACACAAGTGATCTTGAGGTGCAGTGGTAGAGGAGTTTGTACGCGAGGGAGAGGTTGCGGGTTCAAATCCCGGCTGACGCAAAGTGTGGAAAAATCATGAAAAAATGCTGCAACCATAGAGTGGGTGTGTGGCTGCCGGGTGGGGACCTCCTCGGATTAAAAAAAATTTACTATATTTTCCCCTTTTTCGTGATTTTTGTAAATTGATTTGTAGGGGCGGCACAATATACAGTCACCCCTACTTGTAGGGGCGGTCTGGGAACCGCCCCTACAAATACATGATTTGTAGAGGCGCTTGGGTAGGGGCGGCTGAGCAAACCACCCCTACAAAGCCTCTAGAGCCGCCCCTACAAATACTATTTCACGTAGTCACTAACACTAGTGGAGAAATGAGATCTAGTCCCGGTTGGGAACTAGCTCTACTCCCGGTTTCCCAACCGGGACTAAAGGTTGGGATCTTTAGTCCCGGGCACATAACCGGGACTAAAGGTCCATCCCCAGGAGAAAAAATAAACGAAATACTAGGTAGTCCTCTCTTGCGGTGTATGAGATTCGAACTCAGGACCTCTCTCCTCGTGCATAAACTCCTTACCAACTCAGCTATACACCACAAGTGACAGAGTCCTGGACACTCTCCTTTTGAATTGACCCATGGAATACCTTTAGTCCCAGGTGAAAGACCTTTAATCCGAGTTGGTGATACCAACGGGGACTAAAAGGTTGACCTTTAGTTCCGGTTTTAGGCTTCAACTGGGACTAAAGGTGGCATCTCTGAAAGCCTGCCGGGACAGGAGCCTTTAGTCCTGGTTGGTAGCTCCAACGGGACTAATTCTCCCTCTACTCCCGGACCTTAAAAAAATATCGAGACTAAAGCCCAAAATCGAAGTAGATGAAAGGTCGTTTCTCTACTAGTGTAATCATACTGGGTAGAGATGCTAATCATACTAGTAGTGAATGGGGTAGTCGTTAAGTATTCCTTATGCTAATCATACTATTCCAAAATGCTGATCATACTAGCTAATCATATATACTACGCCAAATGCTAATCATATCAGCTTTCAGATGCTTAATCGTACTAGTATTCCTGGATGGTGTTGCGTTTTTTCCTCCTTCAAGGTGTTGCGTTGGAGGACCCAATGGTGTTTCCAGTGTGTCTTCTCTTGCGGTGTTTCAATATTCAATTGTGCACCCAGGGATGCGCTGATTTATTTTATTTGGCTTTTGTATAGAGATGCTCAATCATGGCTCAACTGAATAACGATCTTTTGGTCAGCCATATCGATCGTCATTTGTCATTGCTGGTCAAGTTCAGCTTGTTGATCAGTTGGCAAATGGCAGCCAGTGCACTTGAGAGACATGTGATGAGAGATGGTTTAGATGAACTATTCATCAGTTTCTTTTAAAGGGGATGCCAGTGTTTTTCTGGACATTGGCCATCTCACTTTACGGTACATGAGAATAGCTTGTCAAGATTAATTTGTAGTTCGATCATAGAGACTGACAGGTGGTTTGAGTTATATATGTTGATCGCGTAAAGGCATAATGGGTCTTATTCTTGTTTCTTTTTCTCCTTCTTCATTTGTTTTCGATCTGTGTACCTAGCTGAGTACAACGTTTGAGTGGAGAGGCCCGACAGTATAACATTTCGAAATAATAATTCTTTTATTTAAAAACCCATGTTTTTAATCATGTCTTATTATTAGGGTGCCTCATGGAGCCCATAAAGGTTGAAGCACTGAAAGCAGTTAGTCGTGATGGACTTCTCCCTGACACTACTCGTGATGGACTTCTCCCTGATACACGACACAAGGTGAATATATATTACTCCCTCTTCCTGGAAATATAAGATCCATCTATTCATTAAAAACTATTAATCTCACAATATAAGGATATAATTTTTTTGACCAACAATTAATCTCATAATATAAGGATATTGATTGTTTCCATAGTGGTTGGTGAAAACATGGGCTATCCGGGATCTAAGGGTGAAAAAATAGAAGGTACTAAAAAGAATGTACTTAGAAGTAACAAGTGGGTAGGAAAATGATGGGTCCAGTACCAATTTTATTTTATTTTATTTTTTATTCTCATATGAGGGCAGATTTGTACATTCACTTTATTAGTTAGATTTCATTTTAAAAATGGGATACAGTTGCTTTCCTCTGTGCCTCGACTCTCTACCCTGATCCCTGGACACCTGACCTGAGTACCTGACTGCTACCATCAGATCAGGGTTTCTCTACCATTGGTCAAACACTAAGCACGCTAGCTCATATTCGATCAAAGGCATGAGAAGATGATCAATCCATCACCAATTCACCGTTGCCCCTCTGGCAAATATCAAACTAGATAAGCATGATTTTTTTTTTTAAAATGTAACATCAGTGTCGTTGATACCGGCAACAGGGGCGGCAGGACATTGTTAGCATGGCTAAATGAGCGATAGCCTCAAAAATCATGTTAGTGTGTTAGTAGTCTGTCACCAGATCCATTGGGATCTCATGGATAGTTGCATTGGGGATGCTTTGCTTCCCTATCTAATGTCGATGCCGCCATGGTCCCGTTCATAAGGAGGGTGAAAGATTGGGGGCAGGTTTTGGGATGGAGCGCGCAAGTGTGATTGAGGGGAGTTCCATTGCCTAGATGAGGACCCCAAGAAAGATGGTCATGGCTGGTGCTGCCTCGATGTCCTGCTCACTGTAGGCCTTGAGGGAAACAAGATGGGACATGCACACAAAAAAACTCGACCTACGGGGTAAGATAGCCCCAAGCATTGCATTTAGAAGAATACCTTCTCACATAGGTCGAGAAACTGCCGAACCCTAGCCCCACCTATACACAGCAGCACCGTAACCCATGTGAGAACGCCAGGACCGTGACTGGGCCTTAGACCTGTGCTTTGACGTGGGATAAATGGCGGATTTTTTAACCCCAGCCTGAAACTTGCTCTCACGGGAGTCCACCACACGACCTGAGAAGTGCTACTCAAGCCACCTAACCAACTTAGTTAGAGGCCCTTTCACAGATGGGACATACACACACACCAGAGCTGCTGCCAACAATGATGCTGACATTAACTGGACGGGATTGCTGGCCAAGCTCCAGCGTCAAGCAGATTAGGGCGGTGTCACCGGGAATCAAACGTGGTCAGTCCATGCTAATGATTACGTGAGATGGGGTCTTGCGGTGAATAATGTCAAAAAGGTTATGACAGGGACAATTACTATAATGTCCTTAATTAAATAAATATTATTTTACTATTACTTTCTAGTTCAACGGCCAGCAAGATTCACAAGCAGAAGTACTCAAAAGTACCAGCTTCCTCCTGCCAACCACTGTACAAGGCCCTAAGGATTTGTGTCATAAAATTTGTAGTACCTTTGGTTCACATTTATGTACATATGTGGTTTATTGTGATTATAATTTTGTAACTATATTTCAGCAGAAATGCTGTAGGAGAACGTTAAGCTCATAATATAATCTTACTTTCTCGAGGGTTAAAGTGCCACATATGTTTTGCAATCAGGAGACTATAATTATTTTGCAATGTACCTATATGTAACAATGTGGAATCACATCATTTGGACAAATATATTTGAGTGTTTAACTGAACTCATCATTTACGGAATCTTCTTAAAGGATAAACAAAGTGGCGTGCCCGAAATGATTAATGCCATCCGAGCAGGGCTTCGATCAATGGGCGAGGGTGAGATCAACGTCTCAGCATATGACACAGCATGGGTTGCCCTTGTGAAGAGCTGAATGGAGATGACGCACCGCAGTTCCCCTCGTGCATTGATTGGATTGCTCGGAATCAGCTGCCAGATGGATCATGGGGTGATGACATGTTCTTCCTTGTCCAAGACCGGATTATCAACACCCTCGCCTGCATCATCGCACTGAAATCATGGGATGTCCACGACTATGCGTTTAAAAAGGTAGTCTTCCTCACAGATTATAGAGAGCTCATACATTCTAAGAGCTAATTTTGAACAAGAAATAGATCAACAATGCATGTTGGTTAATTGGCACAGAAATGTTTAAAGTTTTGTTTTCAATAAGGTCAAACAGTATAATTTTTTTTAGATTGTACAAAATATTTTTCTGATGAATTGCATCATATATTCATAGAGCACATGTATTCTTAATGAAATGTCAAATTGTTTGGGAATTTTACAGTTTGGAAAAATTAAATTAGTTATTGTATCACTACTACAGATAGTTCATCAACGCTAGTTCCTATACCCCTATCATCGCCGACTTGACAATCATATATTATCATCAACGGTTTTAACAGAACCGGCAGTGAAAATACAATTAGCAAAAATCATTTGTGCAGTAATGTATAATATCGCAATGTTGGGGTTAATAAGCTCTGTCAAGTGTAACGATTACTTAAAATGATCAAATAACTAAGAAAACTCGAAAGAGGTTACCTATTAACAAGTGATCTAAGATACTTTATAGTGAACATCCTTGTTAATATCCATGCCACGAATTTTTTCTTGTTGTAGGTCTATCATTCATCTCCGAAAATATGTGGAGGGTAACCAAGGATGATGAGAATTGGACGCTATCTGGCTTCGAGATTATCTTCCTATGTTGATAGAGAAGGCCAAGGACCTAGGCATCAACATACCTTTGGATGATCCCACTTTGGAAGCAATATATGCCAAAAGAGAACTCAAGCTCACTAAGTATGTACCATTTAAGACGGCGCATGCCAGATCCATCTTTTTCTTCCCTCTTATTTTTCAAGGAACAAATTGTTAACTAGGAAGTTGCATATTATTGCATCCTTATATGCCTTAATGAAAACTAATTGAAAATGCAAATTTCACGGACATGGAGGCTATATGGCTCTCTAAATGTTGTCTATAACCAGCACATCATGATTCTACAACCCTTAATTGATTGTGAAACGAAAGGGAATTAACTATATTTTTTACACCTATATTCAGTGCACGCTCCCTTGTTGAAATGAGGTTCTTTTATCCAAATAAAAAATAACAAAAAGCTTGACCCTCCCCCAGTCATCCTTCTACGTTGTCTAGAATCTATATTTTCTCAAAGAGATACTCTCTACGTTGTCTAGAATCTATATTTTCTCAAAGAGATACTAGTATTTGGAAACTGGATGTTCCAGTTAAATTTGAAAAAAGGGCTCTATCATTGCACGCATGGGGTTCTATACAAGTAGTAAGAAACATCTAGAACTCTTTTGGGACGTGGAAATAACATGGAGTTGAATTCCTTAAGACAACCTCAACTTTAGAAATCCATGTCCATGACTTAGAATTTCCAACGAAATCCACGAGAACCTAATATTAGTATGACATATCTCCAAATTGGACCTCAACGTGACTGGTGTCATTATCTACAGCAAAATAATTTATCAGTATGTTCTGTTGGATACATATTGATTGCCATGTTTATCTGTAGGGTTCCGAGAGAAGCAGTCCATGCTGTACCAACAACTTTCCTTCTAAGCTTAGAAGGAATGCCAGGTTTGGACTGGAAAATGCTACGTAAGCTCCAGTGTCCAGATGGCTCCTTCATGTCTTCACCTGCTCCCACCGCTTACGCTCTAATGCAGACTGGAGACCCTAAGTGCTTTGAGTTCCTTGATAGATTGGTTGGCAAGTATAACGGAAGCGGTATGAAGACTTCATCTGTCTTTTTACATGCATGACATTTTTACCTTACAAAAAATGTTTCGACAATTTGAGGATTTTAATAAGACAACTAGATATCCCTACATCATTTAGGGTTCACCGTAATGTCCCCGTCACAAATAAGTGACATTTTAATTAGGACTGTGCCAAACGTACCGTGCCTTTTTATCTTTGATCATCAAAAAGCATATTTATAATATAAGATTAGTATATTAGTAGATTTATCATAAAAAATAGTTTCATAATATACTATTTCATTGTAACAAAAATACATTTTTACAAATATTGCTGGTCAAATTAATGTCAACAAAGTTTTACTTCAAACAATCCTAGCTAAAACGATACTCTTGTTTGTGCCTAGAGAAGTATTTTGCATGATGTTCCAAAACAAATGTGCCTCATTTGTAATATAATTCCTTTTCAGTACCTTTTGTTTACCCTATTGAGATGTTCGAGCGCTTGTGGATTGTGGACCGGTTGGAGAGGTTGGGCATATCACGTTATTTCAAGAGTGAAATTGAGGACTACTTGGAGTACGTTTACAGGTAACTATTAGTTCATTGCCATTTTATATTCCGGGTATCTAATAATCTACTGTAAAAATAGTACTCTAAATACGATAGGTATATTCATATTGAGTATAGTCTCATGCCATAAAATAGTGGATGGAGTAGTAGATTGTATTCATCAGGAGTGCATTCTTCTTTTAACATAACAGGCACTGGTCCGACGAAGGCTTGTCATTTACGAAGGGCTGCCCCGTGAAGGACATCGATGACACGGCCATGGGTTTCCGTCTCCTCCGACTACATGGCTACCCGGCCTCTCCTTGTAAGTACTGGTACTAGTATATATATTGTGTGTGTGTGATAAGTAGGAGCAGTTGCAATATATAATATCGTATGAAATTTGTATTTGAACATCCATGAAGGTGCATTCAAGCGATTCGAGAATGACGGCCAGTTCGTGTGCTACCCAAGGCAGTCGAACCAGTCGGTAAGCGCGATGTATAACCTGTACCGAGCTGCCGACCAGGCCTCGTTTCCCGGCGATGGTCACGTCCTCGGACGCGCCAGGAGCTACAGCCGTGCGTTCCTCCGGGAGAGGCGAGCCTCGGACCAGCTCAACGACAAGTGGATCATCTCTGAGGGTTTGCCTGGCGAGGTAAGTTAGCTGGCTTATCAAATCCAAATGTATGTGCGCACTATAGCACGTATACACACTTGATCATGAGACCCCTTCTTGCCACCATCAGGTCATGTACGGTCTGGATTTCCCCTGGGAAGCTAGCTTGCCACGCATCGAAACAAGAATGTATCTGGAGCAATACGGTGGAAGCGACGACGTGTGGATCGGGAAGGTTCTCTACAGGTATCTGTATATATATACAATATATGTGTAGTATATATATATACAGTTATATATGTGTGCATATAGTCAGTCATCAGAAACTCCAACGAAGCGTAACTAGGCATAAGCATCCATGACACTCCCAGTTTGTCCCCTGCAGAATGAACCTCATTAGCAACGACGCGTACCTCAAGGCGGCGAAAGCCGATTTCAGCAACTTTCAGAGACTATGCCGATTAGAGTGGCTCAGCCTGAAAAGGTATAGTAAGGACGACACCTCCTCTCCTTGTTGAGCACTTATGATTGACAATCGAAATTAAAGGTGGAAAATTACCGTATGGGATTTGATTTGAGGTAGCGATTACACGCAGGTGGTGTGACGAGAACAATCTTGAAATGTACGGCGTGACTCCGCAGAGCGCGCTGAGATCCTACTTCCTTGCCGCGGCCAGCATCTTCGAACCAGGCCGAGCAGCAGAGCGCCTGGGATGGGCGCGCGCGGCGGTGCTCGCCGAGGCCATCTCCGGGTGCTTGCTGATGAGCAGCAACACTCATGACGATCGGACGGTGACGGCCGAATGGCTCATCGATGAATTCGTCAACAGCGACGATGAGAAGCCGGCAAGGTCGGTCGGCGTTCTCTTGCCTTAATTGAGTCACTCCTAGCTCAATTCATTGCGTTTCTAAAATCGGTTCACCGCGTTACCGGCTTACCTGCCGGTGGTGCAACTTGTGTGGGCGCAGTGGAGGAGGGAAGAAGAATTCACAAGTTACTAGCAGCCTCGCCTATGCTCTTCGTGACCTTATTGACATCCATGCGTCCGACGACGCTTCTGTCGCTGACTGCCTTCGTGGAGCTGTAAGAAAATTGACGACTCATTCAACCATTTACTCTCTTCAAATACAATATCATAGAGTGGATTAATCTGTTTTGATGATCACAGTGGAAGGAGTGGTTCATGGCATGGACGAAAACGGAGAGGGAAGGACCACGCTCAGCGGATACAGCACTGTTGCTAGTTCGCACAGTCGAGATTTGTTCAGGAAGGCACCACTCCACCGAACAGGACCTGAAGCTTCTACCTGATTATTCGAAGCTCGAGCAGCTCACCAGATCCATCTGCTGCAGACTGGCTACTGAAGCTCCTGCTCTGGTACGGCCATGCATCGTCGCAAAAGTATTTACATACGTGCATGCATCCTTTTTGTTTTTTATAAAAAAATTGAATCTGGCTTGATCCCTTAGAACTAAGGGAATCAGATCACTTATTACAGAAGATTAAACTAACATAAAACATGTCTAATTAAAACTCAATTCTAAAATTATTTAGCTATACAAAGGAAGCAAAGAAATGTATAGTTGCCAGTTCTAGCTCCCGGCACACTTGGTGAATATTTTCTTTGTTGTCATGACACAATTGTAGCTGTGCCCAATGTCACAACAAGTGCTTTCCCATCAACAAGACCTGTAGAAAAGTTTTAGTTTAGCATTTTTTCAAAAACAACTTTGTTCCTTGTAAGCCATTTTTTCTGGCAGCAAATGGCTACACGTCCTATTAACAACAAAGATTTGTTTATCCCACGTCCTTGCTTGTACCATCTATAAAAAAGGTCAATAACATCCAAAGATAATCTTGAGCCTAAAACAATTTATACCGCACGCCAAAGAAACTTCGCATAAAGGCAGTCAAAAAACAAGTGTTGAATTGTTTCATTCTTGCAACAGAAAAGGCACCAGATATATTTGGTTTCCAATTTTTCCTTGCTAACTTATCCTTGGTAAAAGTAACCCTCCGTTTTAGGAACCATAGAAAAATATTTATTTTAGAGGCAGCCTCACACGCTAAACATCCATAGCAGCTTTGGTCCCTGTGTTGACAAGATGTCGATACATGGAATTTACTATGAATGAACTTCGTTAGGTTTCAAAAGCCAAAAGAATGTATATCTTTCATCATATAAATTAATGTCCGCAACCCTAACTCCAAGGCTATTCCACTCCAGTATTCCTACAGTAATGCCCTTCATAACGTAACATTAAGAGGAACCATACTTAAAGTTTGTGCAACCATACCATGCTTTTGACGGACAATATTAAAATGGATTGGATTCCATATTAAGCGGATGTCTGCTCAGTCAAGTATCTTCCCAGAACCCGATTTGGGAACCATCATCCAATTTGGGAACCATGCATCCTCTTTGTACTGTATGATGTTTGATAATTATTGCATTGCTTACCGAATCAAACGTTGGATGATCAACCAGACTGGAGAAAACATGGACAAGATTGATGAGCTGGATAGGAATGTTGGATTCGAGATGCAAGAACTGGCTCAATGTGTTTTCCAGAGCTGCAGCTCCATCAACAGAGTGACAAGGCAGACGTTTCTCCATGTGACGAAGAGATACTACTATGTCGCACTCTGCTCACCTGAAACAATTGAGCATCACATCTCCAAGGTTATATTTGAGGATGTTGTTTAGCAATAATATCTAAGCCCCAATTCTTCTGTACTCCCTCCATTCCAAATTATAAGTCATTCCAACTTTCTTGGCGAGTCAAAAAATCTCAGGTTTGACCTAAATTATAGAGATAATTACAAAGATTTATGACATCAATTAGGCATTACAATGAAAATATAATTAATGAAGAATCTAATAATACTTATTTGGTTTCATAAATATTATTATTTTATTATATAAACTTGGTCAAACTTGAGATGCTTTGACAGTATAAGAAAGTTAAAATGACTTATAATTTGGGATGGAGGAAGTATGTCCTTATGCATGAAGACGTCACACAAGTCCTTTTTTTATTTTCATATTAGTGGATATATATGCTTGTGCGGCAGTGGCGGCGGCAGGGGTATGCCCCTGTATTCCATGGAATACCCAAGATTTGTGACAAAAAATAAATATGTATACACAGATTTATATTGATATTAGTATATTCTTGTTATATTGTGCAAATATGGCTCAAAGGCCCAATACGACAACCAATTCCGGCAACCCACGAAGGAACGAAGCCCAAAAAGGCAGACACCATCACCTTTCCTGCCCGTGACTCCGTCCCGTGACTCCCATCTTCCACCACATTGAGTGACGTGGAACACGGAGCGCCGAGCGCGGACACGGCAGCTCACGCGGCCGAGCGCCTGGCACCGGGCACCGGCCGAGCACCGGGCACCGTCTAGTCTACTTCATTAGTGAGGTTCTTAATGAATCCAAAACTCGTTATCCTCAAGTTCGGAAGCTATTATATGCCATTCTGATCACGTCGCTCAAGCTCCGCCATTACTTCGAGTACTACAACATTGCCGTGGTCACCGAGTTTCCTCTAGGGGACATCCTTTGTAACAAAGAGGCCAATGGCTACATCATCAAGTGGGCTGTCGAGCTCGGCACTTACTCCATCGAATTCAGAAAGCAGGCCTACCATTAAGTCACAGGCGCTGGCTGACTTCGTCGCTGAGTGGATTGAAATCAAAGAACCCATACCCGCTACTTGCCCTGAGCACTGGGTGATGTACTTCGACGTCGCTCTCAACATCAACGGTGTTGGTGCTGGCATTTTATTCATTACGCCGACCAAGGACAAGCTCCGGTACGTCCTCCAAATACATTCCGGCCTCCAACAACGCCGCGGAATATGAAGCATGTCTCCATGGACTCCGTATAGCCATCGAGCTCAGCGTCAAATGCCTCATGGTGTATGGAGACTCTGCGCTGGTCATCAACTAGCTCAACAAAGGTTGGTCTTGTTCCAATGAGAAGATGGACGCATACTGCGCCGAAATCAGGAAACTCGAAGGGAAGTTCTACGGTATTGAGTACCACCACGTGGTACGATACCAAAATCAGCTCGCTGACCACCTATCCAAGATAGGCTCCTCTCGCGTCGCGATTCCGCCTGGGGTCTTCGTTCAAGACCTCTTTACGCCATCCATTAAGGAAGAGAAGGAAGTTCAAGAAATCCCCCCTGCCGAGCAGCTGGTGCTTACAGTACCTTTGCCGACCGCTGATTGGAGGGAACAGTTCATCAAGTACCTCACTAGCGCCACGTACCCACTGACAAGACCGAAACTTAATGCCTAATCCGTCGTAGCAAGCATTACATGCTGGTAGATGGGAACTTAATGGGGAAAAGTGCCAACGAAGGGATACTACAAAAATGCATCACCCAAGAAGAGGGAGTGAAACTACTTCTTAAAATGCACTCTGGTTCCTGTGGCAATCACGCGGCCTCGAGCAACCTGGTCGGCAAAGCTTTCCAAGCTGGTTTTTATTGGCCCACGGCCATCGCCGACGCAGAAGACCTCGTCCGACGTTGTGAAGGATGTTAATTTTTCGCCAAATAGATACATGTACCGGTGCAGGAATTGTAGACCATTCTAGCTTCTTGGCCTTTCACATGCTAGGGACTAGATATGATCGGGCCTTTCAAGCCTACGCTAGGTGGTTTCCGGTACATTTACATCGCCATTGACAAGTTCTTCAAGTGGATCGAATTCAAGCCACTTGTTTCAGCCACTGCAAAAAAAGCAGTCGAGCTCTTCAAAGATATCATCCATAGATTTGGTCTCCCGAACATCATTATCACCGACCTCAGAACCACATTCACTGATCATCATTTTTGGGACTTCTGCGAAGGCCGATGCATCTCCGTTAAATACGTCTCGGTTATCCATCCTAGAGCCAATGGCCAGGTCAAACGGGCGAACGGCATGATCCTCGATGCCCTCAAAAAGAGACTATACCAGAAAGAGGAAAAGCATCTGGGCAGATGGCTCAAAGAGCTTCCAGCTGTGGTCTAGGGACTGCGCACTCAAGCAAGTCACAACACCAGTGTGTCTCCATACTTCTTGGTCTACGGCTCAGAAGCCATACTTCCAGCGGACATTGCCTTCCGAGCACCTAGGGTGGAACATTACAATGAAGAGCAAGCCGCAGCTGTTCGAACAGAGGACGTCGATAGGGCCAAAGAAGAACACCTGATCACTTGTATCCGCACAGCCAAATACTTGGAAGGCCTGCGAAGATACTACAATCGCAACATCAAAGGTCGTTCATTTGCTGTCGGCGACCTTGTTCTCCGTAGAAAATAGAAAACTGAAGGGTTGCACAACCTCTCCTCCCCATAGGAAGGGCCTTACATGGTCAAAGAGGTTACCCGACTAGGGTCTTACCGGCTATGTGACTTGGATGGAATCGATATCCCCAATTCATGGCACATTGAGCACCTTATACGTTTCTATCCTTGAAACACTCCAGATATGTACTCTCCACTCCTTAATGAATGAAGTTTTTGTCGCCATAACTTGTCTCCATTATTTCTCCACTCCGGTTTAATCTCCATTTGCGATCACCAGCTCTATGCTGCTCTGGCTTAAACTCCAATACATGATCTCCATAAAAGCTCCGCTCCGTTTCTCCATACTAAAATATCTCTAAGATATTTCACCAACTGCTGAGCATCACACATTCTGCTCTATGTTCTTTGGAGAAGACCTAGTCTCCGATCTCTCCCTACACATGCTACGGGCTCCGCGCTCTGTGTTATGGGTGGTCGGCTGTGGTTCCTCGGTCATGTCTGTTCCTCCTACACATGCACGGGCTCCGCGCTCGACGTTATGGAATATGGGCTAGCCAAGGCCAAGAGCCTAGTAATGAACTAACTGCTTGGACGCTATTTATACCACGTATAATTGCGTTAGGGTTACCACTACATCTACTTTTCACCGAAAGTGTTAGCAAGACACATAATCATGCACATGTCTACAAACAACATTTATACGAATACATAAATGTTCACTAATGCCCTCGTGCATCTAACTATTCTATACAGGTTCCTCTCCGAGCAGGTCATTGCCCTTGGTCCTCACCGTCCACCTCGTCGAACAGATCGACGTCGCCGGCCAGCCTTTTGGCCACGTCCTCCACCTCATCTTCCAGTTGCTGCTGCTTCGTCGCACCCGTCCCTCTAGCCAATCTGGCCCCTATCGCTTGAAGATCAATGGAAGGGTAATGAGACCAGACCCCCGCTAGGGCATGTGTCATGGCAGAGACAGTGGGTCTCGGTTGAAGCTCTTGAAGTTCTCCCACGCCGCCTTGCATCTATGGATGATGGTGTCCGGATGTGGTTGGCCTATCGTTGGCCTGAGAAGGTACCTCCATGTCGACGTAGTCGAGCACAGGCTTGACCCCGGTGACCACAACGTCAAGTTTCCCCCTCTGGGTTCTAGCCTCCAGCTCTAGCATGTCGAACTGCGCCTTGGTCCTTTGACGGTATTCTGCATGCACCAATAGGATCCATCATGTGAAGAAATCACTTCAGCAACAACTCTGACCATGAACTACTCACCTTTCTGCTCCTCAGCTAGTTTCTCCACTTGCCCAGACGCCGCCTCCTCCTCCTAGAGTTGACAGATGACCTGGTGCAACTGGCCGAGCTTTGCATCTTGCTCTACAAAAGTGACGATCGTCAACATCTAGTTTTTTCGGCAATACAAAGCAAGTTCACCGATCTACAGTACCTTTCTTCTGCTCAGAGATGCTTCTTAGCTACTCAGAGTTGCGCTCTAGCTCCTCGGAGTTGCGCCTCAGCTGCTCGATGATGGTCGTCAACTGCTCGGATAAAGCCCCCTTTTGGTATTCTAGGTCCCTCGCATTTGATTCGGCAAGATCTCATTCGCGCTGGGCCCTCTAGACATTCTTCTCCATTAGCTTCAACGCCTCCTTTAGTTTTGCATTCTCCTTGGCAAGGGGTTCCATCCATTTGATCAGCTGCTGCTAGTGCATGACAGTTCATGCTATACCTTGTAGAGCACCAAGATTATGAAGAACTCCAATCTCCAACGTCAAAGACGGACATCATCGATGCAATACTGACCTCGATCTGCTTCATGGCTATGGAAAGGGTGGACCGTAGCCTCTTTACCTCCCTGGAGGTGTCCTCCTCTTCCACGACCACCACTTCGTCCCCCTGCTTGCGGATAATCCGGATGGCTTGATGTCATGATTCTTCACGCTCAACCTCCTTAACCTCGTCCTCTCACTCCGCAGCGAGTGGCGCTCTCTGGGGGCTCGGTGGCCGCAAAGAGCATCCGACCATGCCCTGCGATGACTCAGGGCGCGTGTTTGCTCCTCCAACACCGCCAACCTCTGTGCCTTAGACTCTATCACGACGTCAACAGCTCCTGCTCCCTACCTCCGAAGGTTCGGCGGCTCCCATATTTGCTCCTGGCATCTTCGTCACATCGGCCGCCTTCGTCGCCAACCGTTCTCTGATGCCAACTCCATCAGCTATGGTGGTCGACTCCTCCACCAGCCGTTGAGCGCCTGGGGACTCCGGGACGGGGTCTATCGATGTTGCCTCCACGCCGGGACCAGCCCCCGGCTGCTCGCCAGTATCGCCTGAAGGATTGAGATCCTTCGCGTGCCTCGTTCTGCATTAGATCAGTTCATCAATCACGGCAACTATAAAG